CTATTTTCCTCTGGCACCTTCTCTCCCAATGTGAGCCTTCTGGAAGACGCTGGGGCCTTGAGAAAGGGCTCTGGCAGCGGGAAACGGCTCCAGCTTGCCCTCTTCCTCCTAATGCAGAAGTATGAACTTTATTCTATGTCACAGGTTGTCCTACATGAATGGCTAGTGCAAGAAGAGCTTGCTTGATCAAGGAGCATAAAATTTCTGTGCGTGCAAGTCATTTGTGTAACTAGTCGTGTGATGGAGGAAGGATTAGTCTGCTCAGGCAGACAGGCTGGGCACCAGGATTTTGGACCATGGTATCCCACGGAGCTGAGCTCTGACACAAGATGGAGGCAGGCTGCAGAACAATTCTAATCATTATAAGGTGAGTGCTCATTTTCCTTACAATAACTGTTTAATTATACATGGCTGTGCAGAGATGAACAGGTCGTGACATAATAACCAAAGTAACTGGGGACATGCTTGTGTTCCGTTAGAACACAGAAGAGCACTGGGGCTACTCAAAATCAAGTCTTACTAGTTTCAGACACACAGGATACAGTTATCACAGATCAGCTGATGCTAATATGTTGCCTTAAGATAGTTTGCTTTAGCTGAATGATCCAAATCATACTACTGTGTGCAAAAGACATTCTGATAGTCTTTCATGTCCAAGGTACAGCTTCAGAAGGAATATGGAAAGCTCCATGTGCCAGTTTACGTGGCAGCTGTAACCATCTCTGGTAGGAGACAGGGTATGCACCTGGAAAAGGTATCTGGTTCAAGTGCAAAACTGTGCAAAGGATGGCTGCCACATACAGGCCAAGTTTTGTCCAACCAGATTTGATGAGATGGTACTTTAAAAAAGAAAAGCACCAAAAAAACCCCAAGAAAAAACTCCCAAGCAAATATACTCAAAGAAGCACTGAGGAGTCGACAGTCCTAGTGTGGACTAGTATTTGCACACTTGCCACTGACACCATTTGAACAGCATAAAGAAAAAAATTCACATGGGTAATGCCAGCCTTGCCACAAAAAACTCATTTGCAATGTCTAGATCCAGCTTTCAAACAAAACTGGCAAGTATTTATTTAACAGTAATTTCATGCAAATGTTAGTGTTTTCCTTTTGAATTTTCAATCTTCTGGAAATGCAGCCCCTTATAATTTGGCTGCACATCTGGATTGAGCATGCAAAGAAAATTCTTACTTAGGCCCTTCCTTATATACCAGCCATTAAGACCGGACAAAAGTGTGTCCTTGGTATCTTTCTCCCCTGTAGAGATGGGGATATACAGAAGAGACCTGGGATACCGGTTTCTTACAGTTCTTTTGGTTGGGTTTTCTTTCTCCCCCCTCCCCTCCATGCTTCACTCCGTTCTCTGGGATATCAGCTTAGATTGCTGACAACAGCATGAGGAGGGGATGGGAGACGTGGGCACCTGGGATTTCCTAAACGAAATCTTTGGCAACTGTCTTTTTATTATTTATTCCTTATTTTTAATTCCACCCCCCTCAAGCTGTCATTCCTTAGCAGTGAAAATGAAAAGCTGCCGTTTATGCGTGTACAACAATGGAGGCCTCTGCAGGCCACATGGCTCCTGCAGTTTAATTTACTTTAATTCATTTTATATTGAACCAAATGATCTTATTTGCCTTTTTTAATGGAGAGCCTTCAGCATGCAGGGTGGGAGCCAAGCCCCCTTTCCAAAGAAATTATGAGCCCAGCTGGTCTTAAAACTTGTAGTCAGCTTGATGTGCCCATCCCAGCTCCTGGGTGAAGAAGGGGCATCTTTAGCCACAGGTATACTCCTTCTCCCACAAACTCCCACTGACTGCAGAGGTGTACAACTGGAGTCTGATGTTGGCGTTACCTTCTTTTTTCTGCTTTGTCTCTCCTGTTCACAAGATCTTCTTTCGCTGCCTTCCAGCCCGATTGTAGTCTTGCAGCCTCTCTCGGCACCTCTGTTTTCTGGGCTGATTTGGAACTTGGAAAAGTCTGGGATTATTTTGTCAAATTATCAGTCTTCCCTCATTCTCCAGAAGGGTTTCTTGCAGAGATATTCCATGTCTGAGTTAATCAAGCTTAGAGAACTTTGGCTAATTGTATCCTGATAATATAGCAGTGTTCATGCTTCACAATTCAAGCACTCAGTATCATGTTTACTGCTTTCTGTATTGTGGTTGAAGACTGAAGACAAACTTCTGCCTTTTCATTTTAGTTTAGTTTTTCTCAGTTAAAGCATAAACTGATGCTAGAAATCCAGAAGGGTTCTTGATGTCATCTTAAACCAAATGTTGCCCTTCCTGTGATGGGGCCATACTAGGAATACATGATCCTGGTACTTTAGACTGGGAGAACTGCATGCTCCAGCCCAAACTTTGAGTGTATTCACTGTCAAAATGAAAAGATGCATCTGAGGTAAGCAGAGTTTAGTACTAATCACTATTTTCATTAATGATCTTGACAGAACTGAGTAGTACTATCAAATGCACAGTTGACACTAAACTGGGAAAGGCTATAAATGCACTGGAAAGAAGGGTTTTAATCCAAACTAATCTTGACAGACTGGAGAAATGGTCTGGAAAACAGGGGGGGACTGAAGACAACCCAGAAGAGAATAATAAGATCTGGAATGAATAATCTCTGAGAAAAGACTCAAAAATTCGTGGTGCTCAATCTACAGAGAAGATTGAGGGGAAATATGAAGACTTTGATGTGTAGAAGCAAAGAATCTGATCTTGTTCCAATCACAATGGTTATGGAAAGGTAAGGGACTTAAAAGAATGACATTCAGAGGAGATGCCTTGTACTAGAAAGTTTATGAAAACCACATGGTAGTCAGAGAAGACTAGACTCTCAAGGAGCAGCATGAAAAGCCATACTAGCTTTGGAAGTGACTTTGAACTTCCAAAATGAGGAAAATCTGAACAGTGTTCTCAGAGGTTGAGGGCAGAATGATCAAAGTCCCTGATATCCCATCCATGGGCAAGTTTTATCACGTAATACTGACTGCCAGCAAGAAGGCACTACAAGGAAGCTCAAGATTAAATACCTTTATCCCACTGGCATCTGTGCTGAACTCCATCCCTGACAGTGCAGCAATCTCTGCTTCAGGTGCTGTATTGTGGGGAGCTAGAGGCTGCTGTTCTGACTAGTTATATACTGAGAATTTTGCTGCCTATATATACTGTCTTCTATCTCTGTGAATTTATATTTCATCCAGCAGCTTGCTACCTGCTACCATTAAGTGACAGCCATCCACAGGTTCACAAACTGCAAGCTAGGCTTCAAGCAGAAACACTACTACAAGCAGATAGGGAGGAAGAGAATAACTTCCTATCTGGCATGTATTAAGATAGCAAATACATTGATAAGAACTTGGTCTGTGTTAATGTGCCTGAAGTGCAATAGAACTGTTCCAACCCAGAAAAAGCTTACATTTAAAAAACTTCATCTGAAAAATATGTATAGCATTGAGCTGGCCTGTAGAAGTAAGCTGGGTCATCAGGCTCAGAGAAAGAGCTCAATTGGGCTATGTGGTTTCCAATTACAATTTCTATAGCATCCTGGGGTTCTCTTGGAGCTATCCCATCCCAGTTTGATCTTGCTTAATTTGTTACACCAGATCTCATCCCTGGTTGGCTTAATGGATGCAGTGTACAGGGGGATAAAAATAAATCCAGATCCATAGTGGTAGGTAACAGCAGTTTCAGATGTCAAGGGAGAGTGAGACCATCAACAACATCCTAAGACAAAAAGGGACTTAAAGTGAGAAATATTGCTATCCAGAAAAAGGTATTAAAAATGAAGCATCTGTGCTCTGAGTCATTATAGGCCCTTGACAGATGTGATCTTACCATCCTCCCACTGTAGCTGCAAATAAAGACCCCTTCTCTTTCTTCTCTTGCGACAAGGATTAATGAGTACTTGGGATAGCTCTCAGACAAGCAAGCAAAGGCTGTGAACCTTTTCCAACACTGCAATTTATCTTGGGAAGACTATTCAGATCACTTTTCCCTCCCTCCCAAGGCTGGATTATGCTCTGACCTAGCACATCAATCTCCCAAAATAAAAATAATAATAAAAGGGGGGAAAAAAGAGCTGGCCAATTGCCAGAAATAAATTAATAACCATCTCAAATAGCCCTGCTGTGCAGGAACAAACTGCTCAACTCCCCTGCCACCCATGTCATTTGTAAGCAAAACTATTCCCAGTTTAGATATCCCCTTAAGTGCCCTGCCTGAGACTTTCAGCGATTAATGATACTATCTTGCATCTGTAGAGTGCCTTTCATCCCAATAACTGCCAAAAAGTTTCTTTACCAAATGCAAATAATAAGCATTGCTACATTTGCCACTGAAATGTAGACACTACTGAAGTGGAAGAAGGGGCAGCATGACAGATCTGTAAGGGTAAAAAAAAATATGAAAAAGTATTTCAAGAGAATGTAGTGACAGTTTCAAAAGTTAGGCCTAGTCTACATATTATTTTATAAACATTTAAGTATGTTAACCATTTAGTTAATATATTTCTTTACGCATGGTTAGAACTGGTGCTGTCTTCTGTGGCATCAGTAGCTTCAATCTAATAGTGTTATTTCTTTGACCCAAGTGGAAAGTCAGAGAGACAAATACTTGCAATTTCTTTCCATTAAATGAAGAGGTTTGTCCTTCAGAAATATCAGTTTACAGAGATTACTCAGAAAATAAGACTTACAACAAAGTCAACCAGAAAGGCAGTTCTCTCGTTGCTAGTACCTATTCCTTCACAAGCAATGCTTACCTGCCCCCCGCACTCCCCCCCGACTTTAATTACTTGCTGGTGTTACCAAACCCTTGCTCAGCTCTGCAATGGCTCAAAAATCAAAACTCACTATGCAGGTGACTGCCAAAGTTTTATCACAGATTGTATTATCTTTATCCCTGCCCCCCCCATTTCATGCTGCAAACATGTTGTAAAGGTATCAGATTATCAAAGGCAAACATCCATGTATCACAAAGAAAAGAGATTCTTACCTTTGACTTGACAGCTAGGACTATCTTAGGCAGGGCAACAATTAGACATTTCAATGCTATGGTGAGGTACTTCAGTACAAAGTCTGCGATCCCCACAATCCACATCAGGTCAAAGAAGTCCAGCCTCTCAAGGTTGGGTTTCAGAAATATAAGGCTGAAAGGCATAACAACAAGGCTCAAATACCAATGAGGAGAACCTCACTTAAGTTTCTTGATACCACCTGTATCCACTGCTGGCTAGAGAAAGCCTAGAAACTCCACTGGACTTCAGTGATGTTCTCAAGGGCAATAGGAGTAAGACATGCAAATTAGTCCTATGGCTCCTCTGGGCCTCTTGACTTTGTCTGTTCTTGCCCATTTCTACTGAGGTCAGCAGGGTTGCCCACTATCAGAAAATAGAACCCAAACATGTACAAAATCTATTTTGGAAGACTGCAATCTCCATAACCTGCAATCCACGCTGTAAAAGAGCCTTTGGTCTAATGACAGTGCCTTTAGTCCACAGGCCTGCTCTGTCAGATCCGATTGTAAAAGCTTATCCTGTGAAGTCCGAGTCATCAGTAGTTACGATTCCTTGGGGAATTATATGGCCAAGTCAAGACCACTATGTCTTGATCCTCTGAGGCTGGCTTGCCACAGGTAGAACTACTGCGGGGCAGTAGTCTCTAAAGCTACTTGTACGTGTGGAAAAAAAACTAGTGACAAAGAAAGCACCATATTAGACATGACAGAAAGGTCCGAACTTCAGGCATGTCATGCTCTGACAGGGGCTTGCCACTGCCTGAAGCGGAGCAAGGGCTGTGTTAATTAGCAACTCTTACCTGAACCAAAGATCCGGAAAGGTAGTGCTCCCTACATAATGCTGTTGACTGGGCTGAACATTTGCCCTTTAAAGAAGGGGAGTCCAGAACAGCAGAACTTCATATAGCAATGGGCAGGAGCTACTGACCTGAGCAGCAATGAGGACTGGACCCTAATCAGACTGAAAAACCAGGATTATTCTTCAGGATATTTACCTACTAAAGCCTCATGGTAGAAAGCAAAAACTTAACCAAAAAAAAAAAAAAAAAAAAAAAGGTAAAATAACCAACCCAGAATGAAAAGCCTGAACGTGAATATAAAATACTCACAACACTGGCACAGCACAACAGGTAAAATTACACCCTAAAAACAGAAACAGAATCAGAGACTTTACTACTATTCATGCACTAGAAACAAGCAAAAAGTAAATAAATCAGGAAATGAAAAATAAGCCTGAAAGAAATAAAATGAAAGCAGCTATTTCTAATTTCACAGGCCTGCCTCATGAATAGTCACACGTCCCCACACAGCAAGTGATACGCTAGCCCAAACGTGACACAGCAGGCACTGCTACAACACTCGTAGGAACAGGGCTTCTCAGTGAAGCTGTTGCTCAGTCTGTTCACTGTTAATAAATCACGCCCTAAAGAGTGTGTAAAGATGGCCCCAATTTGCTGAAACCCTTTTATTTTAGATGATCTATCCTTTATTTTAAACTAGTCCCATTTATGATTTTTACCTTAACCACCTTCTTAGGGACACACCGTTTCCCTGTGGTGCAAACAAATTTCTTCTTAATGCTTTCACACCTTTCTGCCATACCTATTTCTTCTCTTCCATTCCCTCCCACAAGCCCTATATAAGGTATCTTATGGCTTGCCATCCCTCGTTCAGATCTACGCGTACAAGCCTCCTCATCTCTTCCCCTTTCTAGAAGCATTTACATGCACATAAATGACAGAAAAAACAAACCCAAGAGCCATCTAACCATAAACCAACTGATGCATGTTGCACACATTGTATTTTCAGTCTGAAGTTTGCCCCTTCAGTGGGACAAATAAAATTTTCATTGTGAAGATAATTCATATGGTTTTAGTTACTAATATCAAAACTACATTCTCAGGTAACTAGGTTTGATATTGCTCCATTTTTTCCTATTCATTCTACTAATATCCCCTTGTTTAAGTTCTGTATCTTTGCTTCCTATTTGTCATTTAATCCCTGCTTTATAATAAGTAAAGATAGTACTGAACCAAACCCACAGTGCTAACTTTTCTGTATTTGAGAACTGCTGTAGTCAGAATTTGAAAGTGGAGGCTATCTTAATTACGCTGGACTAAAATTTCTCCAAGCCCTAAGGACACTGAAGTAAAATGCTACTACTTCCTCTCCAGTTTATCTCCTGTGATAGACTCAAAGGTTGATAGACTGAAGAGAAAATAAAACATTACAGGAAGACAAAAATCAGTGGGTCCATTTCTTATCTGCTTCCAACACCGGCTCTTTATGTTTAGTCACAGTGGTCAAAATGGAAATTCAGAAGTCCCACTATAAAAAAGTATCCACCCTGCTTTGATATGTAAGAAAATTGCAAGTGTATGTGTTTCAAGCAGCGCCGCCCTGGTGTATTTAGACCCTGGTTATGTCATTTATTGATAGCAGCATAGTCCAGTGGTAGAAGCAATGTACACATTATTTTCCTCCATTGAAAGGTATTATAAAGATGTAACAAAAACAGCAGATACCTTAAGTATGCGCACTTCCTCTCAAAGTGCAGGGAAAAGTGGGCTTCCCTCTTTTCCTCCCTGGCAATTATCACCTGCTTCCACCATGTACAATGCAAATTTTGCCCACCTGTTGTACAGCTGCTGAGAGCTGAATGTGTAAAGCAAGTACAAGGTGTTTCCAGTGAGAAAGGCCAGGATCCAGAAGACAACCAACACTGATCTCTTCTCCTGAGCAAGAAAAAGCAGCAAATATAAAGTCAAAGTCTCAAGGGTTGCACTGAGCCTTCAACTGCTGAAAAAATACAAGACCAACCCATGGGACACAAATGGGCAACTAAGTGTTCAGTAATTAGTTTAGTTACATAGGACTAAGACTCAGAAATAGGCTGCTCAGTAAATACATATATAAGCACAAGCAGAAATGGCTCTCACGCACCTAACCTTTTCAAATAAAGCAACTTCAAGAGAAATCAATCGAAATACACTGATGAAAATGACAGCCTTACTTGCAGAACAGGTTTCAAAGCTGGGATCTTTCTGGGGACATCTAAATTCTCCTGGTATTTAAAATGCAGTTTGACAAGCAGATTAAAAAAAAAAAAAGGTCAGTTCCATATATTGTACTATAATTCTGAGCTGTCACATGTTTGGAATGACACTTCATCAAAGGGCTGTTTTACAAATAGAAACAAAGTCACTTAGAAGGCTTAGCTAAATCAAATATTACATAACCCATCACTACATGCAGCACATATGAATGTTATCTGAATGCATTGAGGTTCTAGAACATGAATTTTTGGTTGAAGAAATAATTAAAGGTCAAAAGAAGTGCAAATTTTGCATTTCAAAAGACATGTAACATTATAGACAGAAGCTAGATGGCAGAAGATCTTGTCCCGGGTCTTGGCCCAGTATAATTTCAGAGAGTAAGTTTTACTCCTGGGAGGAAAAAAACTAGCAGTTTTCTTGTGAGCTGATTTATTAAGAAAATAGCCCGTTGTAGCTGTTCAACAGCCAGGGATGTTAAGTTGAGATTTAAAGCAGGCAGATTAAGGAGCACACTGCTGGAAAGACAGAGGTGCAAAGTGCAAGGCAACAGCAATCTATTACATGATTGTGCAATTTATCTGTTCATTCAGTTTATTCCACTGCTGCTGATAGATATAAGTATACACTTGTGCTACCCATGTAATTTTTACAAAAAAACAATTCTGTTCTTGTGCTTTTAGTGCTGTTGTAAGACCTGAAAAGATCTGCTTGTTTCTTTATGTTCTAAGCATATTATCAACAGAGCGTTATAAAGATACTAAGAAGCTATTGCTTACATCTACAAAAGCCTTCAGCTGAACATCTCAAAGCATTATCTAAATGCTAATAAATTAAATCTCACCATTAACTAGTGAAATAGGTTCAGCACCTCTGCTGCACATAATGGGAAACTAAGGTGTCGAGAAGTGCTTGAAGATGCACTGCCAGTCAGTGGCAGAGCCAGAAACAGATTACAATATCCCTGACTTTTCCACTCTTTGTTTTATTATGCCACATTTTCAAAAAAGAGCAGGATGGAAACTGTGGGAGAGGATCAACGGGGAGAAGTAGGAAGAGGAAGTGAGGATTACAGCATGGTACTCTTACTCTGACAGATCTGTACCTTTATAATGGCATTCACCCCTATCTTGCAAAAGAAGGTTGAACATAGACATTGTTTTGTATACAAAGAGCAATACTGCTTGGGAATGTAAGAGAGTAAGATGCTGTACTTACCTTCAGAGCAACCTGTTCTCGGAGCGTTGAGTTGGCATACGCGAATGTGCTGGCCATACCAATGCACACAGCAATCCCTGCAGGGAAAGACACTGTCAAAGCATGTAAGGCTGGGCAGGAGGATATTCAGTCCTAAGACATATGATGTCAGCATCTCAAGCTTCGAAAAAATATTTACTGCCTAATATTCTGGATGGACTGGGAATTTAAATATATAGGTGACTAAAACAGGGCAGTCTGCACTCATATGAAGCTCAAATTCAAGCTAAATGAAAATGAAGCTACTGCAGTGAGCACTTGCCACCCAGCCCAATACAGACACTCTGTCCTAATGTCAGGTTCTGTGCTGAAGGAGAAGTGCTGGAAGCTGTGGCTGCATTGTGCAAACAGAACTCAGCTAGATGACAGTATTACAATAGCAGTTCAGCAGCTCATGGAGGACAGGGCATGCTATCAAAACCATATAGGATACCAGGTCCAAAGAGCACGATGTTGTAGACATGAATCAATACCTGTTTTTGGGAATACTGGTAGAACAGTTAAGTGGATTAAACTCAAGTGTTACTGTGTCACCGAAATCGGGAATAAACCTCAT